GTGCGGGCCAACGGGCAGAAGGCCCCCCGGCCCCCCTCCCGCCGCAAGGCCCGCCGGCTGCTCAAGACGGTGCTCATGATTCTGGTGGCCTTCGTGGTGTGCTGGGGCCCGCTCTTCGGCCTGCTGCTGGCCGATGTCTTCAGCTCCACGGACTGGGCGCAGGAGTACCTGCGGGGCATGGACTGGATCCTGGCGCTGGCCGTGCTCAACTCTGCCGTGAACCCCCTCATCTACTCCTTCCGCAGCCGGGAGGTGTGCCAGGCTGTGCTGGCCTTCCTCTGCTGCGGGTGTCTCAGGCTGGGCCTGCAGGGGCCCAGGGACTGCCTGGCCCAGGTCAGTGAGGCCCACTCCGGAGCCTCCACCACGGACAGCTCGCTGAGGCCCAGGGACAGCTTTCGGGGCTCCCGGTCGCTCAGCTTTCGGATGCGAGAGCCCCTGACCAGCATCTCCAGCGTGCGGAGCGTCTGAGCCACGGCAGGGGCCCGTGTTCCGGGGGGCCGGGAGCACACCGGGAGTGTGGGGGCTCTGATGGAGAGGCAGGAACAGGGCAGGCAGCTGGGCATCCCGAGGCCCCACGGTTCCCCTCACAGCGCCTGGGCCCGCTGACGCCAAGCAGGTGTCCCCTGGTCTCCCTGGAGGAGGTGGCTGCTCACCGGAACAGGGAGGGTCCTGGAGTGGGGGTGAGTGGGTTTACTATGTACGTCCCCAGCTCCTGTGTGATTCTGGGGAGTCCCAGCCCCTCCCCAGCCTCCGGGGGGCTCCCAGGCTATGAGGGGCGGGCAGCAGTGGGGATTGATGGCCTGGCAACACGGAAGTTCAATGATGGTTTGTCCCAGCCTCCCTCTTATTCACCTGTGGGCACCGGGGCGATGGCGTGGGGCAGTGGCTCAGCCGGCGGCGTGCGAGCAGGGAGGGCCGTGGGTCTGTGCGGATTGGGGACATGGCTGTGACGGGGAGCAGCAGAGTGTGCGTGAGTGTGTGTGCAAGAGAGACAGAGCAAGCGAGAGAGAGAGAGAGAGAGAGAGAGAGAGAGGGAGGTGGGCACGGAACAGGGTGTGCTGAGAGTGCTCGTGTGTCTGCATGCACAGACACCTCGTGTGTGTGCGTGTGCGTGTGCATGTGCGTGTGCGCGCGCGTGTGCATGTGTGCGTGTGTGTGCATGTGCGTGTGCACGCACATGTGTGAGAGCCGGTGGGGCTGCCAGGTCGGCCCCCGCCCCTCTCCCTCACTTCCCCTTTCCCTACCCCTTCTCTCATCTTGGGCCCCTGCAGCCTCTTCCTCATCTCTGGCCTCTGCATCTATCAGGGGCCCCATCGGGGGGGCCCGCAGAGGCACAGCCGCCTGGCGCCCCCCACACCCCACCTCAGGGAAGCTTGACCGCTCCTCTCCTGTTCCATTTAGCACTAACTGCCTCGTCCTTCCCTCCTGTGAAATGGGCTGATTGGGGATGTGGCACGTGGTGTCCGGCGTGTCCTACCAAACTTCTGACGATGGTAGGAGCGTGCTGTCCGTTTCGGGAGCCCCAGTGGCCTTGATAAGTGGCCAGTGCGACTGTCAAAGTGAACTTTGAGTTCGTTCGCGTTTAAATAGTCCGTGGTCCCCGTGGCGACCATACTGGACGGCGCAGGGGTGCACCTTCAACGCGCGCCACCTCTCCTGGGGGAAAGTTCTCTCTCTCTCCCTCCTTCCAGGCAAGCCAGTGCCTGCAAGTCTTCCTGCCGCCACCTTGCCCAGGGCTGGGGGGCAGCACTCTGCCCGCCACTCGGGCACAGGACCACTCGGCTCTGAGCCTCGGCTTCTCTGCACGACGAGGGGTGCAGAGACCTGAAGCTGTTCGCCGTGCTGGCTGGTCCCCAGCCACCAGCCACATGTGGCTATTTACGATGAATGAAAATGAAACGAAATATTAAACATTCGCCTTCTTGGTGCGTCGGTCAGCTGGAGGTGCCATGTGTCAGTGCCACAGACTGGGTGGCCTTACAGAAATGTGTCCTCCCGTGGTTCTGGAGGCTAGAAATCTGAAGCCAAGGTGCCCGCGGGGCTGGTGCGCTGAGGCTCCGAGGTAGAGCCTGTCCCATGCTCTCTCCCGGATTCTGGCGGTCTATTGGCATCATCGGCGCCCCTTGGCCCCTGGAAGTCATCCCGATTTCTTCACGCCTTCACGTGGTGCTCTCCCTGGGCGTCTGTGCCCAAATGACCCCTTTCTAGAAGGATGTCGGGCCCACCCTAACTACCTCCTTTTTAGCTTGATTACCTCTGTAAAGACCCTGTCTCCAAATCTGGTCCCTTTCTGAGGATTTCAACATGTGAACCTTGAGGGGACATGATTCAGCCCCTAACGTCCAGGCATGCAAGCCTCATTTCAAGTACTCCAGAGGCACATGGGGCCTGTGACTACTGTTTTGGATAGTGTAGACTCAGGACAAGTCCATCATCCGAGAACGTTGAATAGAGTTCCGAACATGTGTCCAGGTGCACAATAAATTGGGATGTTTTTATATTTTCCCGATTCCTGTCATCATGTTCATCTGTGACAGCTGCAGGCAGGGTAGGGTCTTGGCGGAATCTGGGGTGAGTGGAGCCTGGGCCACCCTGAAGCTCTCGGCCAGTGCCCTGGGCCTGTGTGAGCTGGCCTGGCTGCCCCCTCTGCTCTGCGTGGCATCACACACTCCGTTTGGAGTCAGCTGAACTATTTGCTGGCCCCTCCCCGCTGGGGACCTTTGCACTGCCCTTGTTGTCCCCACCACAGCAGCCTGCCTGGCATGTGCCTACCCTCAGTCCTCACTTGCCTGCTGCCTGACCTCCCTTCGGGTGTCAGCTTTAGCATCACCTCCTCCAGGAAGTCTCCCCCGATTTCTTCTCGGCTCCCACAGCTGCCTGCGCATCCCGCATGAATTGCAGCTGTCATCACTTCTGGACACTCCCCCATCTCTTCCCCTGGACTGGGAGCTCCGTGAGGGTAGAGACTACGGCAGCGTCTGGGTCACGACTGTGGCCAGAGCTCTGGACCCAACAGCGTGCCTTCCTCTGAGCCTCAGAAACCTCTTCCCCACCCCAGCCCTCCTCCCTGACAGCAGCACAACTGTCCCCAAGAATCCGGACTTCTGCTGGTGGGATGGCCCGGGCATCTGTAACCTGCCACCGTTTCCCAGCTCTGCCTCACACCACGGGCCTCGGCTTCCTCATCTGTAAAAGGAGGATATCGATAGCCCCTGCCCTCCTGGCGTGTTGATAAGGTGAGGCCCTCAGAGGCTCTGGAACTGTGATGTGTACGTTTTTAAATGGATAACAACAGCAACAAAGCCTTATGTTTTACTCTGTGCCTGGCCCTGCTCCCTTCGCCTTTGTATTAACTAATTTATTCCTCTGAAATCCGCTACCACCGTCAACTCCATTTTACAGATGGAGAAACTGAGGACCAGAGAGATTAGGTAATTGACCCAAGGTCGCACAGCTAGGAAGGGGCAGATCTGGGATTCAAAGTGGCGGTGGCAGGCAGGTGGCTTCTTGATCCCTGCTTGTTAGGGATCGTTGACTCTCTCCACTTTCCAGGCAGGAAAACTCTGACTCCGAGGAGGAGGCAGCATGAGCAGCTCTAGGGTCCAAGCCTTGTTATCTGAGTCAGGCTCAGGCCCCCTTCTTGGGCTGTCTCTGGGTGAGTGTGTGTGTGTATCTTGTGCGTTCATAGCCCAACCTGGAAGAACGGGGGGCGGGGCGGCAGATGGAAGGAACGGGTGCGAAGAGCACAGGGGCCAGAATGAGTTCTGGTCCCTTTTCCCTGCCCTGCCAGGCCATCCCTGACTCCTCAGGCCCAGGAGCTCCCCGGAAGCAGGAGATAGGACTAGGAGGGGTGGGCTGGTGTTGGGGCCCTCACTTCTCCTTCATCTCACTCACCCATTCACTTAACCACTGTGTGTCAGGCTCTCTTCTGGGCACAGGGGTTGCACCCGTAAACAGCCTGCTGCCTGCCCCCATAAAGGTCCACTCTGGTGGGGGTGACAAACAGCCAGAGGTCATTTCGGTAAGATGTCAGCCCTGCGGAGAGGCGGGGGAGCTGGGATAGCAGATGCAGCCAAGTGCGTTCCCATTATACCAACACGTTCGGAGCACGGAATGTGTGCCTGGCTCTTTCTGAGTCAGTTCACGGGGATCATCTTATTGAATTCTTACCCCTGGGGGAGTGGGCAAAGGTCGTGAGATTATTTATCATCATGTCGGGCAGCTGAGGAAACAGGCTCTGAGAGGTGGAGCAATCTGCCCAAGGTCACACAGCTGCGAAAGGGGAGGTGCTGGGACTGGAATCCCGAATGCTGTGAGTCAGCGCCACCTCGCACCTGGGACAGAAGGGGGGCGGCCGTACCGGAGCCTGGACGTCAGCTCACTGGGGCTCTCGTGTTCCGCACCCCGTGGCCTCAGTCTTCCCATCTGGAGGAGGGGGTATGCGTTACTGATGCTCCTTAGGACCCCTGGCCGGGACACACTGGGTTCTTAGGGTTGCCAGATTCGAAAATACAAATTTGGGACATCCAGTTAAATTTGCATTTCCGATGAACAACGAAATCTATTTTTTGCTATGAGTATGCTCCAAATATGAATAAGCCTTAAGTATAAATAAGCCTATCACCAACCCCTTCACAAACTCCAGGCGCCAGACTACAAGTCCCATAACCCACTGCGCCAACCCTTTAGGAAACTTCTATCATGATTTCTTTATTCTTCTTTCATTCATTCATCCAAAAACGGCATAACCCACCCACTGTGTGCCAGGCCTGGCACTGGGTTCTGGGGATACATCAACACAGGAAGCCGACAAAAGTCTTTGCCTTCATGGAGTTTAGCATCCACGTTCCTTGGGAGTTTTAAGTGATTTTCTGACTTCGACGAGGAAGACTACAGCTCCCGTGAGCCCTTGTGCCTGTGCAACAGGACTACAATCCCCAGGAGATTGCGCGCCCTAGGCGGGCCCCTCTCGGCTCTCATTCCAACTTCCTTCCGGGTCGCAAGGTCACGTCCTGCCCCGCCTCTCGCCTCCTCCCCGCGTCCCCTCCCCCCCCCCGCCACGAAGACAGCGTTTGAGAAAGTTCCACTGCAAATAGTTGCTTTAAAGTCTCCGTATTTTTCTGACTCGCGTATTACGTGAAACTTCATCCTTAGGTCTAGCCATACAGTCCATCACGGCGTCTTCCACGGGGAAGTAACAGAGCGGGCCTACCACTCCCAGGAAGCTCCGCGCGCGCCAGGAGGACTACAACTCCCCGGAGGCAGCGCGGCGGGCGGGGCGGCCCGTGGCGGTGCCCGCAGGACCCCGGAGAAGGCGCGGGCTGCCCGGCGCGGCGCTCGCAGGACCCCGGCGCCTACCCATGCTGAGGTGAGTCCGCGGCAGCCGCCGCCGCCGCTGTCCCGTCCCCGCCGCCGCCCCGCGCGGCCCCGCCGCCGGCCAGGATGCTGGAAGAAGCGGGCGAGGTGCTGGAGAACATGCTGAAGGCGTCGTGCCTGCCTCTCGGCTTCATCGTCTTCCTGCCCGCGGTGCTGCTGCTCGTGGCGCCGCCGCTGCCCGCCGCCGACGCGGCGCACGAGTTCACCGTCTACCGCATGCAGCAGTACGACCTGCAGGGGCAGCCCTACGGTGCGTGCACCCCGGCCTCCCCCGGCCTCCCCCGAGCCCCAGGACCCGCCGCGCCGGCCCGTCCAGCTGCAGTCCCGCGCGCAGACCCCGCTGAGCCCCGCAGACCCGTAGGCAACCCCAGACAAGTCAGAGCCTGCGTGCCTGCACCCCTGCGACGCCCCCAGGCCTCGGTGTCCCGTGCCCCCGGAACCTTCAGCGATGGCTCCCCCAGCCCCGGCCCCTGGCCCCGGACAAGGGCAACGTGCCCCAGACCCCGCAGCTCCGACCCGCAGGCCAAGCTCTCTGTGCGCCTGGACCCCTGCCTGGGTCCCCTCTCTCTGATTCCGAGCCGGGCCAGAGTCGCACTGCCCAAGCCCCCTTCCCCGGACGCCACGCCGGTGCCCATCCTCACTGGGTCATGCCCCTGCGCCCAGAGCTCCCACTTTGGGAGCTAAGTTGGAGACGAGCCTCCTTGCCTGGTTTCTGCCAGGCCGGGGCACCCGATGGGCAGGTCCAGCCAGCCCTGACCGTTCTCGGCCCCCCACGGGTACCCCAGTGCTTTTTGTTCAGTGCCAGTATTCTCCCCTGGGGGCTCAGGAGCTCTGATCATTAACCCAGGCCTGGCCTCATATCAAGGCCCACCTCTCCGGGCTCTCTGCTCTCTGGGCCCAGCTCAGGAATCAGGCTCCTCAGATTACTTACCCAAGCCCCCCTCCCCATTTCAGTCCCCATGCCTGTGGGCTTCTGGGGGGTCCCTTGGACCCTGTGTGCTGTCCCTTCCTTTAGTGCACACACAACCCGCCCCCGGGCTCAGCCTCCTCGGCCCCAAGCGTTGGCTATCCCACTTGCTCCCTGTCTCCAGGAATCCTGGATTGTCTCTGGCCCCTACTCGGTCCTCCCTCTGGACCTCCTGGGCCTGGATCCAGCACAGCTCCTTGTTGCCCCCTCCTGCCTCTTCTCCTGTCAAGGTGCTGATCCCAGCCCCTAAGCCTGAATTCCAAATTCTCTCATCTCTGCCGGGCTGTAACTGTATCTGGTGTTCCAGGACCTGCTGGCCTCTGGTTTTTCTTCCATCTTGGTGCCTTGGGTCCCTGCGAGTCAGGCTCTGCTCTCTTCAGAAAGGAGCTCCCTCCCCAGTTCTGGTTCTCCTCAGCTTTGAGCCCCGTGGACCCCCAGCCAAGTCCTTGGGGAGTCCCAGTCCCTGGAGACATGTCCAGACTTCCCCTCAGATCCCTCCTCACCCCAAAGTTAGGCTGTTGCTGTTTAGAGAAGTGGTTGTCAACCCAGGGGTCATTGGGTGATGACTTCGTGGTTGTCACAAGTGGGGGGTGGGGTCCTGGCATCAAGTGGGTGGGAGCCGGGGATGCCACTCATCACCACACAGCGCACAGGATGCCCCCCCCACAGAGAACCACCCGGCCCTGCATGCCCACAGTGCCGAACGGGCAGGCTGTGGTGAGTGATGCTCTTAAACCTGAGGGCCCAGGCTTGGGAGGGGTGGGAGGGAAGACCAGGAGCCCCTGATGTCGTGGGCACGTTTTTGCGGGATGTTTCACGTTCCCCTGGAGGAAGGGTCTCTACCCGCGTTGTGTGGTGTGACGGTGGTTGTGTGCTGTGTGCTAATACAGGAGCCGGCAGCCACGGGGGGCCACTGCGCACTTGAGCTGTGGCTCGGGCAAGGCAGGAGGGGAAATCTGAGTGTTGTACAGTCGTAATAAACTGAAAGAGCCAAATGTGGCTGGTGGCTGCCATCCTGGTCTAGAGCTTTTGTTGGTTTCCCAGAGGAATCTGCCCTCCCGAAGGCCCAGGTCCTGGGACTTGAGATAACCCGCTTCTCTGGATCCCGAGTTGGTTTCCATACTGCTTTCTCTCCCCGCCCTGAGTCCATTGTCCCTAAGCCTGGGATTCCCTCCCATTCCTTTCTGTGACTTGACATCTTTGCCTACACGCCCCCATCTGTGTTGCTTCTACTAAGAAGCCCAGATGCTGCCTGCCTCATGTGTGGCCTCTGTGAAGGCCTTTGGGCTCTGGGGGTGACCACAGGGGCCTGGGGCGGCGGGGGGGGGATGACACCTGCCTCAGCCAAGTGCTGCTTGTGGCCTGGCTCTTAAAGCTTGGATGAGGCCCTACGTGTGCAGCTCACACACCTCCTGGCCCCCTGCCAGTCACAGCAGGTGTGTTCACCTGGGGAGAAGCCGGAGGGGGTGCAAGTGCTGATAGGGGGAAGCGGGTGGTTGGAGGTGAGGCCCCTCTGGTGTGGCTGGAGGGAGCCCCAGGCCTCTCCTGGCCGGTGTTGTTCTAAGAGCGGCTCTGCTGGGTCACCACGGATTGCGGTCTCCCCAGTGTCTTAATCGCCCTCTCCACGCCTGCAGGCTCCCTGCCTCCTGGTGCAACCCTTGCTCTGGGTCTTTCCTAACTTCCTGTTCACTTCTCTTGAGACATGCAAGCTGACGACTGCTGGGAAGGAGGGGTGTGTGCCCTTTGTGCTGAAGTGTGAGCAGGGCTGAGGGTGATCCACCAGGTACAAGGCCATGGGGTGTGACCTCACCCCTCCTGCCAGGCAGACTCTGGCCCTCCCGGGTGACGCTTGCTGTGGGCCCTTGCTGCCTGGAGCAGCCCCGTTCCTCCCTGTCTCACTCAATCCCCTGGTTAACACGAGGCCCCGGCAGGTGGGGCCGTTAGCCTCCCAGCACCCATGTCAGCTTCCTTCACCCATTGTTGTGAATAAAGTTTTACTGGCACACGGCCCCTCCCACTAGTTGGCGTGCATCTCCGGCAGCAGAACTGAGTAGTTGAGACAGAGCCGGTGTGGCCAACAAGGGGAGAGGGCTGACCTTCTGGCCCTTGATGGAGCAGTTTGCCACCCCTGCTTGGGTCCGGTCCTGTGGTGAGAACCGGTGACTTCTGTCCCAGTGTCTGGCACCCACCTCTGTGTCGTCTGCCCAGCCTGACCTCTTCCTGTCCAAACAGAGCGCCGGCTCCCGCTTTCCGTCAGCATGAGAGGGTCTCTGCCCTGGTTGGGGGGGGTGCCCACATCCACCCAGCTGTGCTCTCCCCCTTCCTTTCTCTGGCTTCCTCCCTCTGGGAAGTGGAGATTCCTGCCCTGCAGGGGCACCAGGCCCAAGGCCTGCGGAGCCTAGCACACAGTAGGCTCCACAGGTGGTCCTCTGTGTCTCCCCGCCAGTGGATTTGGAGGGCCTCTGGGAGGCTGAGCGTGCAGGACAGGTGAGGCATGGGGGAGGGGCCTTCCCAGCAGTCGGCATTCCGGGAGCTTCAAGGACGTCCTGAAGGTCTTGCTGCCCTCTCCCTGCTCAGCCCTCCTGGGGCTTCCACCCCAATGGCCTAAATCAGAGAAAAGGCCCCTGGAGGGCTGGGGGAGTGCAGGCAGGGAGCACCCCCTCCAGCCCTGGGACCCATGGCCCACCCTTGCTCCTTGGTCACAGGCCCCCTGCTCCTGAGATGGCCTTCCCACCCGGGACGCCGTCCGCTTCCCCGGCCCAGCCCCACAGAACGCTCCCTTGGAAGCCAGCCATCTCCCACCTACCTGCTCTTCCAGATGGCACCTTACTGGAAAGCAGAGGCGGGGACGTGGGGGCCCCGGTGGCCTAGCGTAGGTTCTCATCTGTGTGGACGGGCGATGCCTCCCCCTGCAGCTTGGACCTCCAGGACTGCCAGGCCGGGCTCCCCTTGGGAAGCCAGACCACTTCTCTGCATCTGTCTTTTGAGTGCTTACTGTGTGCATCCCAAACTGGAGACCCCGGGGGGCGGGGGGGGGGGCACGTCCAGCCCCCACATGCAACGTGATTTGCTTGTTTTGTGCATCCTGGGTCGGGGTGCAGCTTTTGAAACATTTGGAGTCATTGCTTACCTTTGGCATTTGGGTGATTGGATGTAAAACCTGGATTTCTGGCAGCACCCCAGTTGAGTGCCATGACCCCGGAGCTGCCCGAGCCCCCTTTCCCAGCAGTGCACGGGGCAGACGGCCCCCAAGGGCCTGCCACGTGCCAGCACCTGTGGGAAGTGATGTAGATGGTGGCGCGCTCGTTGGTCCTGTGTTTAACGTCAGTGCTTGGGTGCCCTGTGTCTGGGGGAGACCCCCACTGGCCTTTGAAAAGCTGTCTGTGCCACCCTGGTTCTGACCTGCCGCTTCTCAGGTGGGGGGTAGGGTGCAGTTGCCTGGAAACTCCGGCTCTAGCGCTCTTCCTGATTTTCTGGAGCTTTCTTCAGCTCTCTGAAGAGAGGTGGGAAATGGCCCTTGGATGTAGACCTGGGGCGATCCTGTCCCAGGGGACGCTGCGCAGTGTCTGGGGACATCTGTGGTTGTCACAACTGGGAGAGCTCCAGGCGGCACCAAGCAGGTGGGGAATGCTGCTCAGCCCCCCACAGTGCCCGGGGGGGTGGGTTGTGACTCACCGGGGTTGCAGTGGGCACTGCACCAGCGGGCAGTGAGGGGCTGGCCTTGGCGGACGTGGTCCTGTCCAGCACCCAGTAAAAGGACATGTAGGTGGTCTCCAGGTGGGGCCCCGGTGCCCCTCTGAGGGAGACCCTCCCTGCCCTCCTGCAGGCACTCGGAACGCGGTGCTCAACACGGAGGCCCGCACCATCGACGCCGACGTGCTGAGCCGTCGCTGTGTGCTCATGCGGCTGTTGGACTTCTCCTACGAGCAGTACCAGAAGGCCCTGCGGCAGTCGGCTGGTGCCGTGGTCATCATCCTGCCACGGGCCATGGCAGCCGTGCCCCAGGACGTCATCCGGGTGAGTCTGCACCCTCACCTTCCACGGAAGAAAGAACACCGGGTTTGCAGTCAGCCAGGTGGCCTTGGGCAGGTTGCTGCCACATGCCAGCGCCTGGGGGAAGTGATGTAGATGGTGGCGCGCTCCCTGGTCCTGCGTCTGTCAGTGCTCGGGTGCCTTGTGTCCGGGGGAGACCCCCACTGGCCTTTGAAAAGCTGTCTGTGCCCTTCAGGAAGCAGGACGGTGCCTGTTTGCCTTCATCATTGCCCCCTCCCGGCCAGACAGATCCTGTCCCTGAGGGACACTGGGCCGTGTCTGGGCACATCTGTGCTCATTAGGATTGGGGAGCTCCTGGCATCCAGCAGGTGGAGCTGGGGACGCTGCTCAGCTCACCAGCGCCCAGGACGCCCCACAGAGAGTGACCCGCCTGATGTCCACAGTGCCGGGGGAGGGGGGCTCTGATAGGATCCCGTGAGACACCTCGGATGAAGATGCTTTTGCAGATGAGGAGCAGCTGTGGGGTGGTGGAGGGGAGTTCAGGTTACCGAAGGCCAGCTTAGTGCCGGGCACCTTGTGCCCACTGTGTGTGGGGCTCCCTCCATCGGACCAGGGTGCCAGCATCTGCCGCCCACTCACAGAGGAGGGTGTGATGGCCAGTGGGGCTGGGAGCAGGCCCCGGTGACACCAGGTCGGACCCCAGACCTGGCTGGCCCCCCTCGCCCGTTCTCCCAACCTGCTTCCTGCCCGATGGGTACCGCCTGGGGGCCCCCTGGGCATTGCCAGCCCACCCGTCCCTCCGTCCTTGTCCTGTTTGTACCCTCGGCCTCTTCTCCAGCGTGATCCTAGCCTTGCTAGCCAGCCTGAGAGGAGGCGTGCCTGCACCCCAGGGACAGCCCCTGGGCACCCCCACCCCCAGACCAGAAGCCCCTCAACGTGTGTCTCTTCCACAGCAATTCATGGAGACTGAGCCTGAGATGCTGGCCATGGAGACTGTCGTCCCTGTATACTTTGCTGTGGAGGACGAGGCCCTGCTGTCCATCTATGAGCAGACGCAGGCCGCATCCGCCGCCCAGGGCTCCGCCTCGGCTGCCGAAGGTGGGCTCGGGCTGCAGGAGTGGAGCCGGCTGTGGCCACGCCACACCGTTTCCAGGCCCCTGTCTCATGCGGGTTAGCAGGCCCTACCCCCCCACCCCACCCCGCTGTGCCACCGTCTCCAGGTCGAGGCCAAGACTCTGCATTTTGCAGCCCCCACCCCACCCCACCCCACCGCTGATCCCATGCAAACAAAACCTCGAGAACCACTAATTTGGAGGGAGGTGTTTCTCAACTAGCCTCTGGATGGTTTATGGAACCTGTGGGCGTCTGTTGGGTTTGTCTGTCCCACTTGCTGAGGACACTCAGCATCACCATCGTGCTGAAGCCCATCAGGGTGGGGCAGCAGCGTCCTCGGGGAGAGGAGGACACAGGTTTCTCCTGCCCCGTGGACCGGGGACGTCCCCGAGCTGGGTGCAGGGGCGGGTGGCTGTGGAGAATGAGCTAGCAGAAGTAGTCGAAGAAACGCCCCAGAAAAGACCCGCCTGACATTTCGTCCCCATGGAAGTGGTGGGCGGAACTGGAGGCTGGCCCTCGGAGTCGCCCCTGCCGGCCGGCCTGGGGCTGGGCAGCGGCCTCAGCAGCTCTCGCTCTGGACACCAGGCTCTTCCCCGTGCCCAGTCTCCACGTTGTGCTCCAGGTCACGGGGTCACTTCTGCATACAGCTGGGCTTAGACCGAACCCCTACCGTCGGGGGCGTGGGGGCCACAGGGAGGCCGGCTCGGGCCTGGGAACCCCCAGGGCTTGGGCTGACCTCCCCCACCCGTCCTCAGTGCTGCTCCACACCGCCACTGCCAATGGTTTCCAGATGGTCACCAGCGGGGTCCAGAGCAAGGCTGTGAGTGACTGGCTCATCACCAGTGTGGAGGTGAGTGCCCGGCCCTGTCTGCCGCACTGAGGCCTGGGGAGGGGGCACCCAAGCTCCCTGAGCTCACCTCCCACCTCTTCCCCCGCCGGAGGGAGCTTCGGATAGGGAAATTGGGTTGAATCTCCTGCCATCTTCCACTGCCAGCCCCAGCCGCGCATCGAGCCTCCTCATCCTGCCTCAGGGCCTTTGCACTGGCTGTCCCTGACTCACAGAGAGCTCTCTCTCGCACAGTGGCTGCTCCTTCTCATCATATTACAGTCCCTCCAATGCTGCCTTCCCAGAAGTCATTAGAACTTTCTGGGGCCACACACCCCCTGTCGTTCAGAGCTCAGCCGAGCTCTGATTGTGGAAGTATCCAATTAAAGCAACAAGCCAAACATGAAAGAGTTCAGCCTGTGATCACCACTGGTGGTGGTGTAAGCAAGCGTCTAGACCAGAGGAGACCCCGACTCTGCTGCTCTCTCCTCCCCCATGTGGGGGTCGGCCCGCTTGGCAGCTGCGGCGGGGGGGGAGGGGAGTGGTGCTGGATAAAAGGCTCCAGCAGTGGTGTGGACCCAGGGCGGGGAGGGCTGGGTCCCCACGGTGAGGTGGGGAGTGTCTGCTCTGTGGTGTTGTCACATCCGTTGTGTCCCCCACCCCAGTGAGGAGGTCTCCCCGGACGCAGCCCGAGAGACCTTGGCAGAGGCCCCGGCCGTGACGGCACAGGGCAAGGGGCGCAAATGTGGGAAGAGCCCGGCCAGGGGCCGAGTGCTCAGTGGCAGCCCGCCGGCCTACAGCATGCCCGTGTGCCCCAAGTCTGGAGCGGGGGGCGGCCTCCCCTGGGAGTCCTCCAGGCAAGGCCTTTGTACACGCCTGGGCTCGAGCCCGAAAAGCCGCAGGCTGGCTTGAACCTGGAGCCGGAGTTCTGCACCCGCACGCTTGCCCCGTCCCGGCTTCGCTTTCTCTTGAGTGACGATCCCACTCAGCCCGTTCGGGAGCCGTGGGTCATTAGTTTCTTTCCCATCAGCCCAAGTGCCAGAGACGCTGAGACTTCATCGTGTGGCCTCTGTTGTGTCCCCGGAGCTTAACCTGGTGCCCGGTGCACAGTAGGCCCTCAGCAAGCACTTGTCACTGAATGTGCTGGGCCCCAGGCCCCAGTGGCTTACGCCAGGTGGTGCAAGGCTACTGTGCCCCCACCTGGTGTTGGGGTGCGGCTGCAGGCGGGACTCGGGTGGAGCCACACTTGCAGCCACCCCTTCCCTCTCCAGAGCTGGTGCGTCCGCCTCTCCGTGAGCATTTCCGGAGCCCCGCTGTATGCAGGAGGCAGCAAGATGCCCTTCCTTCCGGGAAGACCTCACTGGCGGTTGGGACGAGGCCTGAGGGCAGCAGGCCGGCACTTAGCACAGTGGGAGAAGGCTCTGCCGGGGCAGCGGGCCCGTCCCTGTGTGCGGGGGCACCTGGGGACGTCCAGGCTGCAGGCCTGCCGCCGCGGGGAGAGTGCCCGGCTGTGGGTGCTGCGGGCTGCCCCGCACAGACCGGGTGGAGGAGGCAGGGCAGGGTGGTCCGTGGGGCTGGACGGGCCGATCCAGGATGTGGGGAAGCCGCTGCAGCATCTAAGCTATCAGTGAAATTCTAGAAGGAATACGTTTCTTAAAATTGTGTGCGGGATCATGGCAATTTGGGCAAAGAAAGCCCCAGTAACTAGAGTCCTGGCAATCAGGCACCCGAAGGTCGGGCCGAGCAGCAGCTGGTCGGCTTTGCTGTGGGGTCAGTGGCAGCCGGAGCCAGCCAGGCTGCAGAGGGTCCTCCTCGCCACTGGGGGGTCTGTTTCAGCCTGCCTGCCTGGCCACCCTGGCCTTTGCTTCTGGAAACCTTTGCACCACCATGAGCCCTCTGCCATCCCTGCTGTTTGCGTGCAGGTGGGGGTGCTCGGCTGGCCTCCTCTCCCCGACCCCCGTCGCCTGTAGAGCTAGCGCTGGCCTCAGCCCATCTGTTGGGGGCAAGAGCCCCGAGCCCGTAGGGACAGCGGTATGTCCACGGCCGGCAGCAGCTTCCCCTCCAACACGGCCAAGGTCTTCGCAGAGCTCACCCTCTGGTTGCGAAAATCAGGAAAACAGGGCCTCAGCCATGTGCTGGCACGGACCCCTGGGCCACGCTGTCCGACCCCTCTGCACCCCGCGACCAGCACTCGGACAGGAGGCGTGGAGGCCGAGGCCTTTGCTGACAGAAGGTCGTTCTCGTTTGTCACCCCCATGACTTTAGTGAGTGCCAGTTCATATGTGATGAGACTCCAGCCAGGGCGTGGGCGCCGGGACCTGGACTGTGGCCACGTTCCGTACCGGCCCCTCCTCGTCCTTAGCTGAGCTCTCCTGCTGGGCCCACCAGTGGCTTGCAGCTCAGCCAGGAAGGATGGGCGGGTTTCCGGAGGGGCTGCACGCTACAGCCGTGGTCAGCACACCGTGGCCCTCTTCACTGTGTCTGTAAATAAAGTTTTATTGACATGTGGCCACAGCCATTCGTTCACATATCGTCCGTGACAGAGCCGGCAAAGCCAGAAATACTGCCCCGCCCCGGGAGGGCAGCCTGGGCTGTTTCTGGCCGCTGGAGCCCCAGCCAGCAGGCCCTTCACAGACCTTCTCTCTGCAGGGGCGGCTGACGGGGCTGGGCGGAGAGGACCTTCCTACCATTGTCATCGTGGCCCACTATGATGCCTTCGGAGTAGCGCCCGTACGTACGCGTGGGCATCCCCCCCCCCCGCCCCCGGCGCTGCTCCGGCCTAGCTCGGGTGGAGCATCTGGCTGAGGTTGGAGCAGCAGTACCCACCCTCTTAGGACCCCGGGGGTGGGTGTCCTCGGGAAGCAGAAACAGGCTAATCTGAGGTGGGTCTCGTGGCTGGAGTCCCATGCAGATAGGTGGCCAGGCCAGGTGTCTGTGTCCATCCCAAGGCCCAGGCCCAGGTGCAGGGATGTGCCGGGAGGACCCCCAGGGCTCAGCAGACGGTCAGCCCCACGGCTGTGGTTTATACAGAGAGGATAGGAAGCCAAATGAGCTCAGGGCAGAGGCGTGGGGGGCGGGGGCGGGGACACCAGACGCGAGCTTCCAGAGTCCTCTCCTGGGGTGTCCTACAGGACGTGCTGAGCTCCCCCCAAATGAGACGGGACCGCGTGTGTGAGGTGTGGTCTCCAGGGGGCCGGCAGAGACCCAGCACCCGGTTCGCTGCAGGGGTCGGTCTCGCGGGCCCCTCTGCCTGGCTTGGGCCCAGACCCCAGACTCTGGGAGGGGAGCAGGTGCTCGGCCCAAACCTTGTGTCTGCACAGACAGTTTAGGGCCCTGGGGCCCCCAGCAGCAAGGGTGGTGGGAGCCCGGAGTCCGGTTCCAGATGCCGCCGAGGGCCAGCCTTGCGAGCCAGCCTCTGGGGAGGGAAGTCTCAGGGCCTGCCTCTGGGCCATGCTCTCAGCTGCCGCCGCAGCGAGGTCAGAGCTCACGGCAGTGTGAACGGTGCCTGCTCTTCATCAGGAAAGTCTTGCTTTGGAAGAAAAATCAGCTGAAGCAAAGAGGTTGCCCAGTGGCAGCCTGGCGTGAGGTCCTGACCGAGGGACCCATGGTGCACGGCTGTTCCAAGCGCCACCCCGCCCGGGAGGCCAGGGCCTCAGCGGTCACCTCAGAATGCTCAGCCTGGTCCTCAGTCTCCCTCACACCCGACCAGGAGCCTTGTGAGATTATTTTTGTCCAAATCTCCTCCAGCCCTTGCTGTGGAGTGTTTATTTACTTATTTCTGAGATAGAATTCACAGAACATTTAAATTGTTCTTTTAAAGTGTGTAGTTTAGTCCAACACTCAACAGAGTTGTGCAACCACGACCATCTACTTCCAGAACATTCCATCTCCCCAGAACGAAGCCCCGTCCCTATCAGCAGTCACACCCCAGCCCCCGGCCCCTGTGGGCCCCCTTCCCGCCCATGGATGAGCCAGTTCTGGACATGCCACATGCATGGACTCATGCCCCGTGTGGCCTTCCGTGTCTGGTTCCCTTCCTGAGCATCGTGTTGCCTTCGCCCCCCGCACTGTAATACCATCAATATGTGATACATTGGCGTATGGACCGTAACCTCAGAAGGGTCCCAAGGTCCAGTTATCATGCTGTCGGGAATGTTGCTTTTTTTTTTTTTTTTAAGATTTTATTTACTTATTTGACAGAGACACAGCAAGAGAGGGAACACAAGAGGGGGCGGGAGGGGGAAGCAGGCTTCCCACAGAGCAGAGAGCCCAATGCAGGGCTGGATCCCAGGACCCCAGGATCATGACCCAAGCCGAAGGCAGACGCTTAACGACTGAGCCAGCCAGGCGCCCCAGGAATGTTGCTTCAGATCGTGGGATCTGGATGAGTCGGGGGCTTCCGCAGTGGAGGGAGCCCGCGCTGACCCCCCTCCCAGTGCACAGGTGTGCTGCGCGGCATGGGGAAGGCGCTGAGACCACACGGAGGCAGCCCCCCTGGGCTCCGGGGCCTGGTGCAGAGTGTTGGGGAGCGAGCAGGAGAGCTGGCAGGGCCCAGGGTGTCTGGGGGCTCAGCCCTGCAGACACGGGGTGCCGTCCTCCTGGGGGTTGGAGTGGAGCCGTGATGTCAGCTGCGCACTGGCCATGCTGTCTGGAGGCAAGGTGGGGCTGTTGGGAGCCGGCTCCGGCTGCCGCGGTCGGGGCAGCGAGGCCCTGCGTGAGACCTGGGGTTGACTGCTGGCCTTGTCTCCCTCCTGCCCACAGTGGCTGTCACACGGTGCAGACTCGAATGGGAGCGGCATCTCTGTGCTGCTGGAGCTCGCCCGCCTCTTCTCCAGGCTCTACACCTACAAGCGCACCCACGCGGCGTACGCGATGGCCCGCGGGAGGGGCTGCAGGGAGGGCGGGGCTGCTGGGTATGGGGGATGTGCACACCCCAGGAATAACGGGGTCTGTATGGAGGGCCCCCTACCCCCCCCAATTATGCCAGGCCTGGAGCTGAGCCCCGCCCAGATCCTGCACCCAGGGCTGCAGGGTCTTGTCTGGGGACATCTGTGGTTGTCACAGCTGGGGGTGCTCCTGGCATTGAGTGAGTGGGGGCCACGGGTATGGCTCTGCTCCCCAGAGGTTCAGCTGTGCCGGGACAGGGAGACCCTGTTCTGAGCGCTAGTCAGGATTCAGTACCTGGGGGGAGACCACCTGCTCGTCAGGATCCTGGTCGCTGTCCTTCAAAGCTGATTCCCCACTCTGCCCATGCCAGGTACAACCTTCTCTTCTTTGCTTCTGGAGGGGGCAAGTTCAACTACCAGGGAACAAAGCGCTGGCTGGAAGACAACCTGGACCACACAGGTGAGTGGCCCCCGGGGGGGCGGGGGGGCCGGGGCCCTTGCTTCCTGCCCGTCCCAACCAGCCCTGCCTGCCCCACAGACTCCAGCCTGCTCCAGGACAATGTGGCCTTCGTGCTGTGCCTGGACACCGTGGGCCGGGGGAACAGCCTGCACCTGCACGTGTCCAAGCCGCCACGAGAGGGGACGCTGCAGCACGCCTTCCTGCGGGAGTTGGAGGTGGTAGGTGCCTTCCTGCCCGCAGCTTGACCCAGGGCTGTGGCACCCGTGAGCCGGGGGCCGGGCCGGGGTCGTTTGGCGAGTGGCTTGGGACCCTCCTGGCTGTCAAGGCCCTGTGTAAACATCCATGGCCCGAGCCAGGGCTGGGGGGGCGGGTCACCTCCACAGAGACTGGAGGCGGGGGGGGCCGGGACCACAGGGCGGAGCGCCACCCTGATGGCGTCCCCTCATGCAGGTGGCCGCCCACCAGTTCCCGGAGGTCCGGTTCTCCATGGTGCACAAGAAGATCAACCTGGCGGAGGACATCCTGGCCTGGGAGCACGAGCGCTTCGCCATTCGCCGGCTGCCTGCCTTCACTCTGTCCCACCTGGAGAGCCACCGCGACGGCCAGCGCAGCAGCATCATGGACGTGAGGTGGGCACGGCCTCCCCTCCATCCACTGCTGCTGTGCGTGATCTCAGGGGCCGCAGTGTGGACGCAGGCGCCTGCAGGGAATGAACCTGAAATGTGGGTGGTGGGGATGGTGGTTGGCCTGAGTCCGGTGGGGGGGATCTGAGGTCGGGTTACTGAGCCCCCCTTATTAGGGACAGGGGGTCACGTGTGAGTGGTTTGCGGTCCCCTGGCCCCCATGTGTGATGTCCAGACCCCACATGTGACCCTCAGATGCTGGGCACCTCGGCCTGCCCTGTGGCTCAGAGGCTCAAGCTCCTGCCCCTGGGCCTTTGCATGGCTCACTCCTCATACCTCATCAGGGAGGCCCCCCCACCCTTCCCTCCTCACATTACCACTCGTCAAGACGCGGGGCACCTCTGATTTCACCCCCGTCCGCCTCTCCCGGTGGTGTGCAGCCCTCTGCAGGGCCGGGGTTTTATGGCGGCCACGGAGCTGGGCTTGGGCTGGGCTGGCCACACGCACTCATTGGCCAGCCTTGGGCCCGGCCCAGCTGCTGGCCGTGTGTCTGCTGGCGGATGAGAAGCTGGGCCTGGAAGAGGCCCTGCCTGGCTACGGGTGAGGCCCAGAGAGAGAGCAGGTGTGGGCAGGGGTGTTGACTGTTCCTGGGGTATCAGGAAGGCTTCTTGGAGGAGGTGGTGCTGGAGCTGAGGGGTGTGGGCCAAGAGAAGGGCATTCCTGGGTGGAGGGAGTGAGAGCCAAGGAGGGTGCTGCCCCCCCGCTCTCCCCGGCGGCCTGCTCCCGTCAGCGGTCAGCACTGTTCTGCACCCAAGCCCCTCTGATGGGTCTGCATGTCGGCAGTGGTGCTGGGCGTCCCCTGGCCTGTGGTTCCCCAGTCTTTGCCCCCGTGGCCACAGATGGTCTCCCCCTTCACATGAGGACATCCACCGTCTGACATAGGGCTGTCCTCCAGTGCAGGCCCTGTTCCCGGGTTCTGGGTGGGGGTGAACGTGGGGAATGCTGTTCACGCCACGCGGCATCACCTCAGCTCTGCTTCGACAACGGCGGATGTGGGTCCCCCGGCCACCCCCACGTCTGCGCTAAGGAAATGGGCCCCGAGCCCAGCAGTCCTTTCGGCGGACGCTCGGCAGGCGCCCGCCCTGAGAACACTGCGGCTTTTCTTGTTTTTATTATCGTTGGAGGTATGATGGTGCTTTTTTTGGTGATTTTAACGGACGTGGATTCTAGATACCTATGCGTGGTTTTTTCAACTCTGCCTAAGGTCCCGGGTTGACTCTAAGACTCTGACCCGCAACACCAGGCTGATCGCGGAGGCCCTGACCCGAGTCATCTACAACCTGACCGAGAAGGTGAGCCCCCCCACCCCCGGCTGCGCCCGCCAGCCCCCCGCGCCCCCAGCCAGCGGGTCAGTCTCAGGGTCTGTCCCTCCTCTCTCCACAGGGAACCCCCCCAGACATGCCGGTCTTCACGGAGCAGATGGTAACGGCGGGGGCGGGGGGGGGCCCCCCGCGCGGGCAGGGGCGGGGCCGGCAGGGGTGGGGGTGGGGGCTCCCGTGACCACCGCCCTTCCCCCGCAGCAGATCCAGCAGGAGCAGCTGGACTCGGTGATGGACTGGCTCACCAACCAGCCACGGGCTGCCCAGCTGGTGGACAAGGACGGCACGTTCCTCAGCACGCTGGAGCACTACCTGAGCCGCTACCTGAAGGAGGTGAAGCAGCACCACATCAAGGCCGACAAACGGTGAGTCAGTTGCCTCCCTGCAAGCATCCCATGGCCCGACTCGGGCTCACCAGGGAGCAAGGATTTCTGGAGCCTTGCACCCCGGGAGTGAGGTTGAGCAAGTAAAAGCAGAGGATGAAAAACAAAACAATAAATAAGAAGTATAGGTATCCAATTAAACGTGAGTTCCACGTAAATGAGGTTTTTCTTAGTGTAAGTATCTCATGTAGTGTTTGGGACGTACTTATACTAGGAGCCAATTTCTTCTTTGTCTGAAGTCCACATATAACCGATGTCCTGTGTTTTATTGGGCAGCCCTGTACCCCCACCCACCCTCTGGTCTTTCCGTGCTTGGGGTATCAGGTGACTTGGGCCCTGGGTACCCCATCTGCCCCACGATGCTCCTCCTCCCCCCTTGGGCCAAGCTAGCACCGCAGGGCCCTGTGGTAGGAGGGGAACCTGCAGGTGTCCGCAGGTAGGAGATACCCCCACACTGCTTGGTGCCCCTCGCTGGCTCTCTGCCTTCTCCACACTCATGTTGTGCCTAGGAGTCAGGGTTCTTGGACAGAAAAAGAAACTGAGGCTCAGAGTGGACCCACAGCTATGGAGCCAGGTCTCTGATTCCCAGACCATGATCGTCTTCCCTCTGTAGAAACGCTCTCCGGACCAGTAGGATCTTACAGAGTCACCCTAGTTCATTTTTTTTTATTTTTTTTATTTAATTTTTTTTTTAAAGATTTTATTTATTTGAGAGAGAGAGAATGAGAGAGAGCACAAGAGGGAAGAGGGTCAGAGGGAGAAGCAGACTCCCTGCTGAGCAGGGAGCCCGATGCGGGACTCGATCCCGGGACTCCAGGATCATGACCTGAGCCGAAGGCAGTCGCTTAACCAACTGAGCCACCCAGGCGCCCTAGTTCATTTTTTTTTAAAGATTTTATTTATTTTGAGAGAGTGTGTGTGCACAGCAGGGGAGGGGCAAGGCAGAGAGAGAGAGAGCCTCAAGCTGACTCCAAGTAGACTCCACACTGAGCACAGAGCCTGATGCAGGGCTCCATCTCACGACCCTGAGATCATGACCTGAGCCAAAACCAAGAGTTGGACACCCAACTAATTGAGCCACTCAGGCACCCCCTCCCTATTTCATTTTTTTTAAAATATTTTTTTTATTTATTTGACAGAGACACAGCGAGAGCAGGAACACAAGCAGGGGAAGTGGGGGAGGGAGAAGCAGGCCTCCCACAGAGCAGAGAGCCCGATGCGGGGCTCGATCCCAGGACCCTGGGACCATGCCCCGAGCTGAAGGCAGACACTTAACAACTGAGCCACCCAGGCGCCCCAAGGCGCCCCTAATTTTTAAAGAGTTAGATCTGACACCCAAAAAAGCAACAGAGAAAAGGTTCCTTCAGAATAAAGGCCTGTCCTTCCCCAGGAAGGTCAGTGGCAGCCTCGTGCATGCACACACGCACGCACGCCCTCCCGTTCCTGGGCTGGTGGCACCTCTGGGCGGTCTGGTTTCTGGGGGCCATGGGATGTGGCCGGCTGTCGGGTGAATGCACTCTCTCCACAGGGACCCCGAGTTTGTCTTCTATGACCAGCTGAAGCAGGTGATGAACGCCTATAGGTGAGTCGCGCTGCATCGGAACTGTGATGCCCCTGGGTCACAGCCCGGGGCACGTGGTCCAACAGTGGGCCCTCCCCTGACCCTGCTGATCCCCCACCCCCTGCCCCTCAGGGTCAAGCCTGCCATCTTCGACCTGCTCCTCGCCGTCTGCATCGGCGCCTACCTCGGGATGGCCTACACGGCAGTCCAGGTGAGTAGGGGGAGGCTCAGGTGGGAGGCGAGGCCCCCTCTGCGGGGGTAGGGGGTGTCGACCAGGCCAGGTGAGTCCTTGGCCCCCACCCTGCCTAGAAGCAGGTGAGTCCACGGTGGCCCTCGGGCCTTCCTCGTGGCGGGTGTGCCCCTGACCTCACACGAGCGCTCCCGCTGCCCCCAGCACTTCGACCTCCTGTACAAAACGGTTCAGAGACTGCTTGTGAAGGCCAAGACGCAGTGACGTGGCCCGTCGCCGGCGCCACGAGCCACTGCCTGCCGCCCCTCCCCGTGCTGCAGCCCACAGGAGGGCAGGGCTTCACCCCTGGCTCAGCGGCCGGAACCCTGAATTACAGAGCTTTTCTGTGTTGCTCTTGAGGACTTGGGGGATTCTTTCTCTTTTTTGTCCTTTGAACTCCCCCGGAGGAGCATTTGGTGGAGGGCCTGGGGCTGAGCCATTGGACTTAGGGACAAGTCTGCAGATGAGCCCCCAGCCCCAGAGGCAGCCCCACTGCCCTCAGGGCTCGCCGGCCACGGGATGACCGAGGAGACGCCCCCGGCACGGCCTCCCTGTCCCTCCTCTTGGCCACGGTGCTGAGTGGGGACCGCAGGCTGAGGGGCAAGGGGCCGCCTTCGCTGGCCCAGGTCTGCCCGCCACACTACCCCGATCCCCCCCTGCTGACTCGGATGCTCTTCCTCCTGTCTGAAGAAGTGTCCCCAGGTTCTGGCCCCTCCCTCGGAAGCCTTGTGTCCCGCCACCCTGGCCGGGGCTGAGGGCAGCCACCTCAGGGCGTGGCCTTGGAATGCGTCTCCCTTGAGCCCCCGTGGATGCCGGTGCCCTGAAGACCCACGGCCTCCCCGGTCCGGCTCCCTGCGCCGTTCGCCTTCACGTGTGCTTCTCACCGCCTGCTCCCCCCTCCCCGCTGCGCCCCGGGGAGCTCGGGCCTGACCCCAGGAACCTGGGTGCCTTTGGAGCCCCTGGGGCAGGAGGCAGCCGTGGAGAGAGGAGGCCCCTACTCCTCCGCCCCTTACGTCGGGCTCCCTGGGCCTCCGTTTCCTCATCCGTAGAGAGGAGGGTGTGTTGTGGGGCCGTTGGTGCCCCCGTGTCCTAGGAGGGCGTCCAGGCTGGGGGTCGAGGGAGAGCGTTTGCTGGAGAAGATGCAGCCGCGGGCCCCACGCGGCTGCCCGTCCCAGGACCTGGGATCTGGGGAGGAAGGTCCAGGCCTGAACCCCAAAAATCAGGCTCCTTGGAAGGGAAGGGGTGCAGAGCTGGCATCTAGCGCTGCTGAGATTGATCTCAGGGAGACCCAGGCGTACCGATTCATTAGCAATATAATGTTAGGTGTTCTGTGCTGAGGGGAGGGTCAGGATGAGGGAGAAGGGCCTCTGGGCACCAGCCTCAGCCTCCAGGGAGGTCTTCACGGAAGGGGCGGTGGAGCAGGGGGACTAGCTCCCTCCGTGGGCCCCCAGCCAGCCCTCATAAGCCAGCTCGCCACTCGCTGCAGGGTTCAGGCTCCTGGGGGCTACATCTCCATATCTTGTCTTGGGCCTCCTGCCTTCGCCAAGCCCGACCCCTTGGCATGGCTGCCGTCCCGGGCCTGGGAGCCATGGGCTCTCCTGTCTGTCCCCCCTTCTCTGCCCTGCTGGGTGGCCTGTCTTCCCCCAGAGACTGTTTACCGAGTGCCCAGCCAGCCTGGCCACCTCTAGGGGGCAGGATGTGGGGACTGGCATTGGCTCATCGTCTCCCGCACACGCGTGCCGGTGCCGAGTGGGTGTCCTCCCTCCCCAGGGCAGGTCGTCAGCTCAGGCTGTTTGTGGGACGCACTTGGACGATCAGAAAATAAAGCCATATCGAATGATCAGCCTCGCGTGTCCTGTCCGGGGGGCTGGGGTCGGGATTTGGCTGTACCCACTCTCAAGGGGTTTTGCAGTCCTTGAGGGGCCCTTGCCACCCCCGCCATGCCCGTCAGCCTCACCCTCCTGCCCCCCAGCTGCCAGATGGGGATGCAAACCAGCTCGTTGTCACATGGGACCGTGAAGTGCGCGCGTTTCCTGAGTCAGCCAGACCACAAACGGGGCACCTTAAAGCAACAAGTGGACGAGCTCCCAGCGCTGGAGGCCAGAAGTCTGGGGGTCAGGGTGTGGGCAGGGCTGCTTCCTTCGGAGGCCGTGGGGCATCTGTTTGGGGCTCTCCTGGTTTCATGGGTTCCTGGGCTTGTGGCCATGCGGCTTCCGCCTCTGCCTTAGTGTTCTCGAGGCGGGTTCTCTGTGTCTCGTGCTCTTAGAGGACCCCAGGCGTGGCATCAGGGCCCACCCAGTGCAGCACCGAGTTATCCCGACATCACGGCTGCACACTGCACAGACCCTCCTTCCAGATCAGGTCCCAGGCTGAGGTTCTGGTGGACATGGGTTTGGGGGGACACGTTCCACCCAGGAGGGGGGGCATCGGGCTGTGCGAAAGCCCACCCCAGCCCCAAACCAGGTTCCAGGAAGGTCGTGGCCGGGGCGCAGTCACTGGGTCACTTGGGGGCGGTGTATGGGGCCCAGGTCTCTGCTCCAGGCCCGGGAGCTCCCATTGCCTGCCTGCTCCACAGGGAGGACCCCGATCTGGGGCTGACCCTACTTGGGTCCACCCTGTTCGTCAGTCTGCCAACAGCATCCATTGTCCAGCTCTGTGACACTCAGGGAGAACAAAGGAGTGTCCTCGGGAGCTTACGTTCTGGGCGTTCTGGGTACGGGGGAGGACAGACCACACGTGGTCTCGGCTGCTGGGGTTTTTGCGGGGAGCGGTGGGGAGATGGGGAGGTGAGCGTGTGATCCTCCCCCTGCGGGGTGCTCACGGTCGCCCTCTGGTGGCCGCCGCGGGGAGAACAAGGGCGCCGCGGTGCAGGCGGAGGGATAGGCTGGCCCCCCGGGGGAGGTGGGCAGGGGCCGGGTTCCCGGAGTGCGGGGCTCACCGAGGTGTGCGGGCTGGGCCTGGAGCGGGCACTGCTTGGGTCCCCTGGCCCCAGGGTCATGGCCACCTCTTCTCAAGCCATCTCCCTTCCCTGCTGCCCTCCCACCCCTGGGTCCGGAAGGTGGCTTACCCAGAAAGTTCCATTGACTGAAACCAGGGAAACAAGCTACCAGTAGCCCTGGCCAGGGTTTTTCCATCCTGCTTCTCAGCGCCGGTGGGCGGACAGGACCTCTCATCTTGAGAATGGGGTTCCTGTATAGGTTTTAGGTACGGTTGGGTCTTAACCCAGGCGCAAGGCGCACTGACCCCTGCGCTGTCAAGAGCCTTCCTACAGGGCGCCCGGGTGGCTCAGTTGGTTAAGCGACTGCCTTCGGCTCAGGTCATGATCCTGGAGTCCCTGGATCGCGTCCCGCATCGGGCTCCCAGCTTAGCGGTGGGGGTCTGCTTCTCCCTCTGACCCTCTTCCCTCTCGTGCTCTCTGTCTCTCATTCTCTCTCTCTCAAATAAATAAATAAAATCTTAAAAAAAAAAAAGAAGAGCCCTCCTACAACGTTGGACTTCCCAGAGTCTGCCTTCACCTTGGCACGAGCAGCCAATCACCCTGGCATGAGCAGCCGATTGGCCCATGTGTTACCTGCTGTGCTCCTAAAGCAAGCTAGAGAGAGAGTTAACTAAACTTCCAGTTAGGAAAGGAAATCCATCACAGGTCCTCAGGCAGGTGGGCCCGTGCCGTCCAAACCCACGTTGTTCGGGGCTCAGCCATCTTTCTGTTTGGACAGCTCTTTGCAAGTCGCACTCGAACGTTGCCTTGCTGCCCTTTGCCACCCCTGCCATGTGCCAGGGGCCATGCTGGGCCTGGGGATGCGTGGAGGGGCTACACTGTCCGCTGGGGAAGACAGGGAAAAGTGGAAACACGTGGGGAGTGGACGGTGAGACTCCCTCAAGAGCGCTTTTGAGTGAAATCAGAATGACAAGGATTAAGCTGTGTGGAAATTAGGGGTGGTGGTCCAGGCATTGGGCATAGCCCGTGCAAAGGCCCCTGGGCAGGACCGTGCCGGTGTGAGGAGTGGCCTGTGTGGCTGGAGCCGAGTGAGCCCTGCGGGAGAGGGAGGAGGCGAGGGCTCTGCAGGGCCGGAGGGAATTGGCGGGGCGTTTGCATCTCAATGTGATGGGGGACCGTGGGAGGAGGTGGGCCAAGGAGAGGAAGGAGGAGGCCTGACTTACATTTGAAAAGGTCAGTGGCTCCTGGAGGGCGGTTAGGAAGCCTCCGTGGGCTCCCCGGGGGCTGGTGAGCTTCACCCTCAGTGTCATTGTCCCTGGGCGGCGGCAGCAAATGATTTGGACCAACGTGTGCACCAGCAAGGGCCCTGTCGCCTCCATGAGGACTGCCAGGGGGTCACCTCGTGTGGCTTCGACTTCTGCCCAGGCGTTTGTGTTTTGAGGCGATAAAACACAAGTGAGCCTCCTTCCTGACCACCTCCACGTCTCTCCCCGGAGACACTGTTCCCTGTCTCTGGCCTTTCTGTTCCTATTTTTGTTTTTTAAAGTAGGCTCCAACACAGGGCTCGAACTCATGACCCTGAGATCAAGACCTGAGCAGAGATCAAGAGTCGGACGCTTGACTGAGCCCCCCAAACGCCCCTTTTTTGTTCTTTAAATAACACTCTTAGGGGCGCCCAGCTGGCTCAGTCGGTGGAGCGTGAGACTCTTGATCTTGGGGTTATGAGTTTGAGCCCCACGTTGGGGGTAGAGAGGACTTAATATATATTTAAAAAATAAAAATTAATAAAAAGCGTTTTTACGTACATCCTTAGGGACACATGGACAGTATTCAGGAGTGTTTTGTGTACAGCCTAACGTTTTTCCATAGACAGCGTCATACAGACCTGGGCTTGCGTTAACTTGCTTTTATAGTTTTCCTTATATACACGGCCCTTTTCAACACCGAATGGTATTCTGTCCCTGGAAGGTGCCCGGAGTTACTCACCCAATCTCCTGCTGACAGACACACAGCTTTCCCCAGGTTCCACCACCGCAGACCTTCACAGGGGCCTTTGGGAACACTGGGAGGGCCTGGGCCCTGGTCTAGCCTGCTGCCTATGGTTGTAGATAAAGTTTTAAAGGCACGTGGCCACGCCCACCTGGTTATGTCTCCCCTGCAGCTGCTGGTGTGCCGAGCAGTAGGGATCCTGTGCCTGGACAAACCCAAAATGTTTGCCACCCAGCTCTTTCCAGGAACAGTCTGTGCCCCCCCCCCCATCTGTGCTCTGGTTTTCCTCTTTCATTGTGGAGGAACCGGCCACTGCCGGGGAGCAGAGGGGACCTTTGTCCTTTGGCAAGAACACACTGCTGGCGTCTGAGAGGCGCTCTG